CAAATACAAGAAAGATCCTTGTCTTGTCCTTTATCCTCTTTGCACTCGGTGAATTATCGTTAAGCATGGCGTCCTGCTCTGACGATTTCCGTCACATGACGGAAGAAAACTCAGCAAGGATTGATCGGTGTTGTAGAGCGCTGCGCCGAGGATATCTTCGCAAAAATCTACATTCACAGCTCCAAGGCAATCACCCTACAACTTCCGGTGAGGCCAAGTTACAAGTCCCTTCCACTGTCCTCTTCACACGAAATGAAAAGTACTCCAAAATGCACACTGTAACACACGTACACATATATATCTCAATGACGAGCATATATAAAGAAACGAGTCAAAATAATCTAATTTAAGCGGCATAATAATAGAATTAATAAAAAGGAAAGTAGATGAGAGGAAAAGAGATAGTTCAGCAAGAATCGTTAGAATTTTAAATCAAGTAATGCTCTGTCTCAAGGAAAGTTTTTGACAATTATCTGATTTGTTTACTTGAAAAGCAAAACTGGTTGAATAAATAAGGAAGATCTACAATATAATATTAACAGCAATTTTGTACAAAAAAAACTTAGTTGAGCTTATACAGGCGCGTGTACATGTTCATACAAGCATTAATATACTTTGAATCAGGTAACTATCAAAATATAAAATAGTTTATAATGTTATAAATATTATATTATATTTTGAAGTATATAAACTCATGTAACAAATGAGTAAGACGGAAATCATAAAATAAACGTAATGATTCATCATTAATAAAAAATTGTATAAAATACAGGCTTATTGAATCAAAGCTAGGGGTTTAATTAAAGCCTCTTAAAACCTACTCCCTCTGAAATTATTTAATCAAACTTTCCGACTCGAAGTCCAGCAAAACCAGTTTGGCGGATAAAGATGCGGCATGAGGTGAAATTAGTCACATGCAATTCTTCAAGTTGTCATTATAATTTTAAAAGGACTGATGAAGCAATAGCGAGACAAAAAGAGTGGTGTATGAGCTAATTCCGACTCAAATCCATTCTAGTAGAAGCTGCCGAGCCTTAGGCAATTAGTTCTGATAAAAACCTTAATTTTATTGGAGTATGAGCCCAATGTCAAAAGAAAAACTCTCGCATTGCTGCTCAAAGAAATCACAGCAAGAGATTTCGCTTGGTTAATCCTTTTTTTAGAAATTTAATATCTCGTTGGGAAGATTGTGTTACCTTGAAAGAAGCTTTCATTTTATTCTGCTTTGCATCCGATTAGCCTGAGACTTACTCCCCTACCATCCGTCCTGCTCGGCCAGACGAGGATGAGTCGAAACAGGCATTCGAAATTGATATCAAGCAAAACATACTGAATTAATTAAGACAGATAGCGAACTTTTCAAAAGAGTAGTCAAAAAGTAGGCAATCAAGGATCATTCAACTAAGCCAAATTACTGAAAACCGTTGACAAAAGATATGCATAATTCAATTAATTTTTGTTGATGTCACATAGACTAATTTTTGAGACCTCTCATAGCATATATTCAGACTGATATGAGATGTGGGTTCTATCAACAAAATAAACTTTGCAACAATTTATTCGAGAATCGAATTGGTTCAGGCGTCGCTATGCTAAGGCGACCTGTCATGAATGAATAGGATACAGGCAGTAATATAATGTCTGCAATCGAGCAGTGGTGGTAAAGTATCATTAAAGTGCTGAGAGGATCAAGTAATAAGGTAGGAATTGTAGTGAATTCTGAGAGTGGAAGTACTTTCTGGTGCTGGTGTACCTTTCATTTGATTTGAAAAGGCAGGTCGAAAGGAGTCGTAAATTGGCCGCCGAAGATACCGAAGTAGGGTTGCCATGGGCTTGTGATTATCAGATTGTAGGAAAAGGACCTTGATTCCTCGTACTGCGACCTTAATGAATCCGTACTGAGCTTGTATCCGTCATGTGACAGACATCTTCAGTCAGAAACCATTATTTACAAACAATCGCCAAAAAATGAAAAACCAAGAAAGACAGCCGGCTGAAATTATACTTACTTCTTATACTTCACTTTGTGATCTTAATAAGACATTCTTTGATTTGGTTGGCCCCTTAGTGCATATCCTAGATGCACGTACATGAGTGTAGTTGATACAGGAAGGTAAACGGATATAATTGCAGCTTTTGTTTATGTAAAAAACAAGTGTATTCAAGCCTCAATCTACTAGGGCAACCTTCAAAAAGCAGCTTCTCTTCATATAGCATTTTCTGGTGACAAAGAACAATGTGGTGTTTGAAGAGACCAAGAATTTTCTCCAAAGCGTCAAAATTGCCGCAACCAACCAGGGAGATAATCGGAGAATGAAAGTGCTTTGCAGATTTTAAAATCCCTCTGACATATTGTAGCAACATTAATCATAAATGTGTTTAAATACTGCAAGTAGATTTGGAATAATTTTAGTCACTTTTGATTGCTTAAGGTGATATAATTGATTTTCCACAATGAAGTAAGCATACATCGCGATGTAATAAAATAATACACATCGTTTTGCAAAAAAGTAACTAAATTCTAACTCAAGTTTAAGTTTATCAGTAAAAAATATTAATAGATGATTCCGTAATGGAAGCAAAAGAGCTTCGCCATAGGACTAGATCATATAAAATGCTTTAAAATTAATGAACCAAAGTGATTAGCTGTGACCAAATAAGATATATATTTAGGTTTTAAAGGTAATCGAAAGTGAAGGAGTAACATCCTGAAGCTGTGGTCGCGAAACTCGGCTTATTCGAGCAAAGGAGATACTAAATAGAACTAAAATTGCCTTACTAAAGACCGGTAGGGCATTTATGATTACTAACTATCCTTTAACATGGCCTGACCAACCCACGGATAAAAAAGCTACGCAAAACTGGTCGAACTTGTGGCGCTTAAAGAAATATATATAACCGAGTTAGATGTATGCGATTTGAAAAGACTTAACCTTATTCTTCTGAACCATAAGAGTTAAGGCAACATGAACTTTAAGTAGCACTTAACTTAGAGGCTGCATAAAGAATATGACCATCTATCACCGCCTTAGAATGGCTGCGTCAAAGATGATAGGGTTCAAGAGCAGGTAATTGGATAAAGATTCGGGCTCCAAGGGTAGCATAGGCATTTGTACTAAATGAACAACCAGAAATTGATTGCATGAACAGACATTTCAGAAGTCAGACTCATTCGGGAATGAGTGCATAGCGGTGAATCGTTGGAAAAACACTACAAACACTTTGCCAATTTCACTAGTTGGAAATTCAATGCTTAGATAGACTATGCGGTAGAGGTGTCCCAGATCGCCCTGCTGAGAGATGGAAAAGGAGAAATACTATCGCTTTGTAGGTTAGAGGAAAAAATAAATAATTTACAGTGTCTTTCAGTTAATTACAGTAAAGGAATGTGTTGAAGGAATAGCCAGACGACGTTCGAAAGGATGGAAAAAGGGTGAAATATTACTTTAACTAGAAAGGTGGGTTCACCTGGTGAAGAATTACGTCATCTAGTTCCAACCTCCAGAGGATGATGCTGGCAAAGTTCTGCTTGGTAGCTACAGATGCCGAGGCCAGGAGTTTCCCTTTTGGATGAGCTGTTAAGGAATAAACCTGAAAAAGTCGTTATACACATGATTGAGTGTTTAAGTTAGTAAAATACAAGAATAACTAAGGAAAGAAGGGTAAAAACGCAAAGGTCAAAATAGATCCCCGAGGTATTGGTGAATGAAGGGTTAAGAAGAGCAAGTATTAGAGCTAAAATTTGACACCGTCAAAATAAGAGTAAACAAATTTGATATTAGTAGGCTTGAAGGCAAACATGAAGCACAAAAGGAGTGATACATTAGTGACGTAAGCGTGGACAAGAAAATGGATTAGTAAAACCCAAAATATCAGATCTTAAGGAGGAACTTAGCTCACTTTAGACAATCTATGATGAGTTGAGCTTTTGTTTACTACAAGTCTTAGGAAGAAATAATCACACATCAGTTAAGCTAAGCTAGAAATCCTTTAATATAAAAAACGAGCAAAGGAGAAATTATTCGCGAATCGGAAAATGATAGCTACTTTCATAATCATTCATGCGGCATGCTAAACGGATAACAAAGCTCGTATATGAAAAATAAAAGTGGAGCTACTAACAGTAACTAGGTCGAAAATGAGAGGGATCGGAAACATTGTTAACACGATTTAGATGCCAATCGACATGGTCAAGAGGGTGTCAAGGCCCAATTTGAGCTAGAATTGCCAAACTTTTGTAGACCGTCATAAAGCGAGTGATCTTGCCAAAGATAGAATCTTCAGTTAATGGGTTTTATGTGATAAAATTGGAACTATGCATTATGAAAAAGAAAGACAACTCTTTTGCCTCATCGAAAAAAGCGCACAATAGTTTCGATAGCCCTGGAGTCTAGACAGCCTTTCCACGCGACTCGGAGCCAAGACATCAACCCTAAAGAGGCATAGAAGAAGAAGAATGAATGAACCTGATCCGTGCTATAACCACGAAGATGTTACCTGTTGGGAGTAAGCAGTTGCCGGCCAAGAGACAAACGGTGAAACAAATAAAGACAAATGTATGTAGCAACTTAATGGCACATCCATTCGGCAACTGAAAATAAAGTTTTTCAGGAGGGGCAAGTACAAGAGACTCCATACTCATGTTAGCAAGCTCATAAATTAAGGCTAGTAGATACGAAAAATTAGTCGGAAGGTATTAGGCCGAGCGGCAACTTCTCACACCCCAACAGCCATCCAGTGGGTAGACAGAAAGAGAGAGAAGGCTGGAACATCCAATATGTTATAAATTGGGATAAATGGGAGAGGTGCAACAATTTAATTGGGAATGGAAGGATAACATTTCTGGCTGGGCGAACCTTTCTTTGGGGGCAGAAGGAGACCGAGCTCAGCCTCAGTAAGGCAAACGGAGATGTGTGTCCCATTAAGCGCCCCCTTTGATTGCCAAGGTAAAGGTAATAGAAGCAGAGGCGAAAAATAAATCGAGCAGGCCACCAAGTGGTCCATGGCGAAGCAAAATAAACAAAAAAGGGACCTGACGGTAGGTCTGATAAGACATTTAAAATTGTCTGTACGGTCCGAGGCACAAACAAATTTTCGAGAAGTTCACTAATTCTTGAATAAATACT